TACGAAGCAGAGAATTTCTGACCTACTTCAAACACAAAAAACCCACAACTTATTTTCATTGCTACCTACAGTATATGATTGAATGTGTTGCAATATTCCCTTGGAGTTAGGGGGAGAAAGGCACCGGCACACAGATCTTTAATAATATGCTTTTTCCACACAACACACAAAAAAGCATTGAAAGCTATTTCAATACGCTTGAGTGCAAATATGCCGTAAGTAATACATTATCTCAAAGGTGAGGTAGTGAAAGCCAATTTAATAACAATAATAACTATGATTTGTATAGCATTTTTCAAGAGGACAGAAAAAGTGTTTTATATTCAAACAACGAAAGTAAATAAATCTGCAAGACTGGAATTGTTTGTATGCAGATGATTTGATTTTCTCCCTGCAGTGCTGTTTATCAACAGTATGTATGTTTAGTGCATTATACACTCCATAGACACTCACATATACTCTGACTACAAATGTAACTACAAAAAGCATCATTTCAGAAACAATATAAGATTATTTGAATAGTCTTAGTGTGAGTATAATACTCTTGATTGAGCAAATTAAGAAATCATTTACTGAATGGCATTCGGACATGTAAATAAACTGCTCAGTGCACAAACTTTAATGTTACCATTTGATGTGAGAGCCTGGCTTCTGATGGATTATTAGATGTTGCTTGTTATGAAAGGATGAAAGGGTAGCATGCAGAGTGACAGCGTCTTATTTGTTTGCCAAGATTTAAAATGTTTGTAGTATGTTCATCAACATAAATATGCCCACATCTCAGGCAGCATATGCAGATGGTATTAATATTTAAGTAGTGGAAGGAAACTTGATTATAGATAATTTGTCCAAAAAAGTATGAAACAATCACAACATGGACCTAAATCTGCACTCAGAGGAACGCCACAATTCACCTAGTTAGTTAAGTTCTCTCAACATCAACAGTAAACCAACCACTTGAGAGAAGTATGAGACTCCTCAAAGTTCACTCAAGCCCAAGCATCAGTAGCAAGAAGGAGAATAACAACGAAATTGCCCAGAAACCAAACAAGGTCATATTTAACTTCGACTTTCAGTTTTAACAGGGGAAACGTACTCTGATCAAATCCTGTGTTTGCTTGGCCCATCCATGAACTCTCCCCCACCCTAAGTAGACTTACTAAGTTATCAGACTTCCTCCTCTCTTCCAGTCCAAGGTTGATAAAGGTTACCCCTTGTTGTATTTGTATCAGTGAGCAACCATGTGAATAGATGATAATGGCATTCTCAACCTCCAGGCTTAGCAGCACCCTTCCAACTATTATTTAGGACGGTGATAATGGCCATTCAATAGGTCGATTCAAAGCGGGTCCACAGTAGAACCACAGTCCAGGGTGTAAAACAATATACTATTTCAAGCTACCTACTGGCTGCTGCATGTGGACTTCAGCAGGCAGCTCAGGTTGCCTGACACCATTGCATCAATGTCACTGAGGCCTGACGCCATCTCACTTTTAGAAGTCTCCAAACAGAGGTTTGTTTTTAAACTGACAGTTCAACAGCTGATCACAAAGCTGGAGACAAAGAGCAAACTCCAGAGACAATGCAGCCACAGTGAAAACAGTCCTTACCTTGTGTAGAGGCATTCTTATGGTCGGTAGTGTGAAGGCAGGCAGGACAAGCAAACAAATCGAAAGGGCTATAACAAGCAAGCAGGTCATAACAACAGGCACAGGCAAAACACAATTTAAGGCTGCAATGCCAAGACAACATACACAATCTGGCAGAGAAGGACCACAGGTTACTATCTACTCGCCCTGCACTAATAGGACTAAGGGGCAGCTGTACCAACAGATGACAGTTGAAGGCTAGGAAAAGGACATGGCATAAAAAAAGCAACTTACCACAGGCACACATATAGTATGCCCAACCATCTAACCCAACCTCCTCCCTAAAGCTTTATACAGTGATATGCCACACTACTTCTGAAAAAAATAAAATTATAAATACTAGTAAATAAAAAATTGCCCAATTATAGAAGAGTGAAGTGTGTAAGTGATGAACTGACTTGAATTTCCCTCTTGATGAAAATGAGAAAGTAATTAGGGACGCGACAGCAAAAATCATTTATCTTTTTGGCTATAAAATAACAATTTGTTTTTGTGTTTTCCTCGTAAGGTTTGTACTGACTAACAGTGTTTGTTCTCTCAGGATCTGCTGATGGTAGAGAAAAGCTGAAGGTAAAGCCAGAGAGGTTTATGTGTGGAGAACTGTAAATCCACTAACCTTAGAGTACCTTATACACGTAAAAGTCCACTGTTAAAAATCTACAATTTCCTTGAAGCCAGGCCCCTCAGTAGTGTACCTGTGAGCAATTGCTAAAAAAGGATATTCAGATAAATGTGAAATAAATTATTTCTACAGATCATGTTCCTCCATTGCATTAATCATCTTCTTCTCTTCCCCAAGAGTTGCCGCTGTATACTTCTTCAAAATGAATTTTCTCTCTCTGCCTGCCTTAATCTGTCTTGGCAATTTCTTTCTTTCCCTCTATCTCCACCTTCCTGTGTCACTCTACCTTTTTCTCTGATAGAATGGCTTATGGAGCAAGTGTCTACGGAGAGTAGGTTTACTAACAAAACAGCTCCCCTCGACAAATGAAGAAATGCTTGGTTTGCTTCAGTGAGAGATGTTGAGACGTATGTAGGAATATTAGTGGACGAGGGCTCATATTTTACAGGAGACCAGCGACGGCTGGGGCTTTGAAATGGTTTTGGTATAGCTACCGGGTGCATATTAAAGCTTGTTGGCTCCACTGGAAAGAAGAGTTTTATTAGCCCGAGGGAGAAATGGAAAATAAAGGGGATGACAGAATGGGAAAGAAAGATGGAGAGCAAGTGAGCGATGTTGGCAAACCTCTCTGTTTAACAGGGCTGCCCAGATCCAAACACAGAGTTGGCCAGTGATTGGTCGGTTGTGGTTAGGACTTGGCACGGGCTGTAGCGACAGCTGTTTGGAAATGATGGAAGCCCCTGAGAAGGGAGACGGAGAAGAGAGGGACCAGGACAACAATCCAGAATTACTGTGAAATGCTGTTGTCTCTGTCCATTCTCCCAACACAGCTCCGCCTGACGCAGAATGAAAAGTAACAGACCACAACAAATCAACAAACGGAAAAAAATGAAGATACAAATGGGAGACTTTTGTTGGTAGAGCACATCGGAACTGAAAGGGACATGTAGTAATTGGATGCCTTCAATCTTAAGTTCTCCTCTGAGGCTTGTTTGTGGGCCTGTTTCATTTCACGCCTTCATCTCAGTCCAATGGGACAGATCATAGAGACATTAAGACAAAATGAATTTCAACCGTGCATGCAATTAATGCTCCCAACAAAAGGGAACATCAACAAATGTGCACGAACACAAATAAGCCAATTTATTGGTAATCAAGCCATTGTGTGCTAATAAAGCTTGACAGCGTAGGAGCAGTAATCAATGTGTTAATTACTCTGCGGCTCTTGTTTAATGTGAAACTGGTCACTTAACATGTGGCGTGCTTTAACCCAACAGAGATCCAGATGGCAGCTTCGCTATTCATATCTGCATTCACACTAGATTATTGCAGATCTATTTGAACACAAAGGACGCAGTCTGAAAAAACACAACACATGGATTCAAACAGGAATAACTGCTGCAAAACTTCCCCCAATTTATCACCACAAAAGGAGGTCTCGGTTTACATCCACTCGGGTATTCACATTACACTTTGAATAACTAAACAGAAGTATGATAGGTGGTGATAGCAGCACCATGCTCTTGTACTAAACCTAACCAAGTCGACCAAGTTATGTTCTGTAAAGCTCAAAGTTAACTTTTGAAAGTATGAAGCAGAAGCAGAAGTTCATTTGTATTGTTGAACATACGAAATAATTAGCAATAACGTTCGATATCATACACAAAGAGTCACAAGGATACGTTGCACTGCAAGGCATACACAAACTGTATTGACACAACCAAAGCATACAGTACAAAGAAATCAGGATGCAGTTCCAGCTCCAGGACAAAGTGTTTCCAGATATTCATCATCAAGTTCATCTGTCTGCACTCCCCCACAATACCAGCACCATCCTCACTGTCTGCCAGCTTATTTAGCCCCTCAGCTGTGTATTGTTTTGAGTAGCATAGGGTTCATTTTCAGTGAAATGTCCGACTGTGAGTGATTCAGCTGTGGCAGGTGCGTGGGATTGTCATATACTGTACACCTCCGGTTAACAGTGCAATAAGTTAAAGGGGAGCTCCTCAACATGGAAGGAAATGTGTTGGAAAAAAGGATTAATCCACACAAACAACACTTGGTTCCTCTCACCTGCCTGCCTGGCTCAGGCACAGCGGAAACACACACGTGCAACCACCCACGCTAACACATACACAAAAGACAGTGGCTGTCCTTTCCTTCAGAGCCAGCAGGGTCAGTTTGTGAGGAATGTGACAGAAAGATGCTCACAGGCTCTTTCAGGCATGCCGCTGCAGATGCAAGTGTGTTTGAGCGGTGGGAAAACCTCCAAAAAGAACAGGCCGTAAAAACCAATCCAGGCTCCTCACCACAAAAACATGTAGAAGGAGTAATAGATAATATGGTGATTGAAGCGCCGTAATGAGGCACGCTGCCTTCTATTAAAAGTGCTGTGCTTGGAGCATATTTCACTCTCACCCCTTAAACGCTGCCGGGTGATGACTAAAGAAAAGGCACATTCAGTCATCTTCCCCCCACACCCTCTTAGACTCACACACATGTGCCAATGGAGAACACATTCAACGTCTCGGAGGCTGGGATCTAAAGAGGGGTGGGTTAATAAAGCATTCCTCATTTGCTGATGAAGTCTTGATGCAGAAGTGGGCAGTCTTGCTTTAAGACATGTGATCTCTCTCAGCTCTCTCTCTCTCTTTCCAGCTGGGCTACATTGTAAAACACACACACACACACACACACTCACACGCACGCTCACTCACACACTCTCCCGCTCTGCCTCTCTGACACAGACTCTCTACTTAGTGCGTTGGAGAGAGGACTGAGGCTCACACTATCAGCACAGCTTCTCAATGGGGGGACGCAGCCAAGAGCAGACAGAGCAGTCATTCCACTGGAGCCTTCCGCCGCACGCGTGAGAAGGAGCCGACAAGTGAAGGGGGGGTAAATTAGCTCCCTGTCATCACAACGTTGGACTTCTACTGACGGGGGATAGACACAGACTGAAGGAAGAAGAGGACAGGAGATGTTGCATGCATGTGGCTGATACAGCAGTGACATGATCAGCCTGCCATCAACTCAGATGCTGATCAGTTTGTGACACTGGGTGCTTTTGGTGATTGTGTTGCCCAAGGATTTCCAAAAGGAGCTGAACTGAGAATATTGCGGAGGTAAAAAAAACGAGAGAAAAACTGCGTTATAGCTCCTTTTTCTGCCGTGTTTGGCTTATCTGCTACTGGAATTTGGTGCGGGAATCACTGGCTTCAAACTATGGATGGATTTAAGACTGAGAAGTGAGACTGCTTGGCAGGGAGGCAGTGATTTCGACTGAGCTCCTTTCCTTCTGAACACACTGCTCAGGTAAGGGTGTGAGACTTTCAAGGAATACCTCTGGTGTTTGGGGACAGGGAGGGTGGGGGATGTTTTAGGAATGAAGAAAAATGTGTTGATTAGATAACGACTTCTATGCATAGTGAAGTATAAAAAAGAGCTTCCACTAAAAACACCCCAAATATCACAAACCAATATTGCATTTGAGCAGTTATACAAGTATTACATGTAAAACAAACATTCTTACGATACTCCGAAATGCTTAAAGACGTTTTATAAGTGAAGTTAATCTAAGGAAATGCAAAAAAGTTAAAAGCATCGATAAAATGGCAGCCTAAATAATACTGTGGCACCTCGATCTCCCTGCTGTATGAGGATCAGTCACACGTGTTGTTAGGGAATCGTCACGAAAGTTGTCTCTGCAGTAGAAGAAAAAAAAAAATCAAGACTCTTTTTGTTGGATCCATGTTTAACGCAGGTGCTTCGTGCGCCTGCAGGTGTGTCTGCTGCTTTCACTCCTCGACTGCATTTACTATCCACGCTGCGAGATTTACCAATTACGCATAAAGAAAGAAGCTGTCCTCCGATGACTTTACGCAACATTCCAAAACTGAGAGTAAACTGCTTTTACTGTGATTTTTATCCGAGTGGAAAACAAGAGGGATATTTGTTTGAAAGCTTTTTCAAACGCTGTTAACACGAGGCTGCAGCGGGGACAGGAAGAGTTCTGTTTTCCTGAAAGCTGCTTCCCTTACCTCCCGAAGTTCCTTTAAAACGATGGCAATGTTTGTTCGTGTTTATTTCAAGTCTGCCGTGCGCCTTCACCTCTAGTAAAAACGCCGCCGGTAAGAACTACATTTTATTTTCGGCACGAATGCCTCCGATCACCGGGATGAGCTCCGTCATATCATGCAATATGCAGATATCCATGCAAGCGCAACGATATTTATGAATATGAAGCCAGATTGCTGAACAGAAAATAGTGTTGTTAAAAAAATAAATGGAAAACATACCCACGGGACCCGCTCACATTTCCACAAAACCGCGGATTATGTTGGATATAGCGCAGGGGTGGGGATTTACAATGTGCTGTTTAATTTTCTCTGATTATTAAGCAGTCTCAATGTCACTGAGGGCACTGAACACATGGGCCAACATTTAGTAGCCTAATGGCTTTAATCTCTTATTCAGATTAACACACAAAGAGGTCTAGTTGGAGGTAAACGGCAAGCAGTGGCTTTAATGCTTTGTGGAAACACAGTGGATCAGGCCTGACTTCATTCTGCAGACATTTGAAACATTTCTGCTCCGAATACTTTTATTTAAATGTGAAATATCCATGGTTGGAAGCTTATATTGAAGAGATTCCCTGAGGCTCATGTGTCTGCTTAATATTCTCCTGTGTTTTGAGATATGGTAGAATCAAACATTAAAGGGGTGAAAGATTGAAACTGTCACATAAGAGCAGCAGAGTCACTGAAGTGTTTGAAAACTGACAAAAGTAAAAACATTTAGACAGTCCCTGTGATATCTGATATAGTGAGTGATTTGGGTGGAATAGAATCTTCTTAAAATCAGACAGAGGATTATAAATGTGTCCAATCAGTAGTCGGCAGGGAGCCTAAACACACCAAGCAGGAGTTTAGTTTAAAGGAGGTGGGTTGATGCTTTTACATTTCCCACTGCGGGGTCCTGAATAGAGAGAAGCGCTGATAAAACCTAGAAAGGAGGAGAACCTCATTATTCAATGAGGGCTAAGGCGTGTCTCCATATGCTGGCCCTCAGCAGCCATCAGGCAGGCGCTAAACTAATCTGAAAAAGGCATTTCGTGCTTAGAAATTCAATACTTTACAAACATTTGGAATACGGCTGCTGCTGTTGTCAATTAAACTGTAATTTCCATAACAGATGATGACAGAAATAATGCCGTCTGTAAAAGATTATTTCCTTTTTTTGTACTTTAATTTCATATTTGTCCTTTTCAGGCTAAAACAGGTTTGAAGGAGACCTATATTGTCAAGATTGAGTGTTTGAGTCTGCAGGGGTTTTATTGAAGCCTCTTTATCTTATTTCTCTTTTCATTCCCAACGTTATGGTAAGAAAAGCACAAACCTTTTAAATACATCTAGTAGAGATACTGTAGTGGACAAAACATGTATTGGTTATATCCGACAATGCAGCAGAATACTAATATGTTTCTTTTGTTTGACACATTAAAGCATGTGTCTGCTGTAAATATGTATGAAGACACGCTGTAATACAAATGTTTCCCTGTGGTTTCCCCCCCTGCTGTGCGCCTCCTGCAGACTCAGCTTTACCATGTCCTGGTTGTTGGCCATGTGGATTAGCCTGGGCTTCCTGCTGTTGTGCCAGGCCACTCTCTACCAGACCATCCAGCAGCACCATGTGGCCCGGCCCGGCCGCACCGACATCCTCACCCTGGGTACGTGAACCTCTTTGTACAGATTTCGGTTTTACTGCGCAGTGTTTAAGTGCGAGATGTTGCCTTTGATGGGGAGAGCAGTTCTCATCGTTGGCTGTTGAAAAAAAGCAACAACATGGCTGCTGCATTATGTCAGAATGATTTGCCACAGTATGGTACTCTCTAACATGATGATTCACCGTGCGCACAGTTTAGCAAAAGCGAATGCTAATTGTGCTTCAAATTGCAAGTTATGTGCTCTTGTTTAGTCATACTTTATTTATTTTAGCATAAACATGTGGTTCTATTGACATATGTGTACTTTCACAGTGATACACTTTGGTTCTTTGGCTGAGTTGCACACTTCTGTTGACATTTGAATAAAGAGTGTATTTAAACGTGCGCAGCAAAGAAATCTTGACTACTACTACACCCTGAAATTAGCTGGAAGACTTGTTACGAATAGGACGAGCTGTAGGCAAAACATCCTTATACTGTGCTGGTAGCCAAGGGAGCTTTGATCACTGTGGCTTAGAAGGAAATGACAATTATGTTTCCCCCTTTTTGCACTTTGAACGTTTGGCAATTAAGCCTGACGCCTCCTGCACCGTAGGGGCAAAAGTGGAGGGTAGACGGCAAGGCGGATCTAATTCTCTGATTATGGAAAAGCTTTCCAGCTGTTTCTATGTGGGGTTGTTAAAGGGAAGGCAAAGGTTTTCTTGAGCAAAGCAAAGGCTTTCTTTAAGCTTCTAACAATGAGTGTGACTCCATGCCGAACACAGAGTGGCTCTCTCTCCAGAAGCCAAGCTAGCTGTTAAACATTGATGCTATCTTCAGCTTGGTTCCCCTTTGTGTGTGTCGCATTGCCGAGCAAAAAGACAAGTAATTGAAGCACAGCAAGAGGGGGGGAAGAAAAAGTCCAGCAACGAATTCCCCAATCTTGTGTTGAACATTGGTGACTTTAAGGCAGCATCTCTCAGAATTGGCGTACTTTTTGCTTTGTTGAGCTGACACAGGAAAATCCAAGCTGTGATGGGGGGGAAAGTTCTCAAAGTATCCGGTTCCCGTTAATTGGTACAAGAGGGTGAGGGATGAGCGACAGAGAGCTCCAATGAATTTTTAAAGGCTGGCTTGCAGTTTTTGTGTGTTTTTTTTCTCTTTCTGACTGGTTGGCAAGTGGAGCTTGGTGCCAAAGATGTACAAGGAAGTGCAAGGCTCAGTAAGTGTCTCTTGAATAATGCAGAAGTCCCAAAGGGAAAGAAAGGAAAAAATAAAAGCCCCCTCCCTCCAATCACTACCCGGGGTGTAGCTCCAGAAGAGGCAAAGGATAGTTATTGCTCAGAGTTCTTTGGAAGGTTTCCTGTCAGACAGACCACATTTTCTGCATTACATACAACACTGAGGCGGGTATGGACATGCACATGCTCACACATTTACACACCATTTTCTCACAGAGGCCTTTGTGGTGTGGTGTTTTCCTCCACCCCTGGGGATCCTGGAGTTGTGCTCAGGACACGTCAAGTCTAAGAGCATTCAAGCCTTCACTCTACAGATGGATGATAAACACACTCTGTTGATTCCGGCTTTTTAAGTCTCAGATTTCATTCATGGTGTTAGATTTGATTGAGGCTGAGCCAGACGATTTTAATTGACGTCACCAAGAAGTATTCAAACGAAAGAGGAGTTACAGAATAGATGCAATCAACCTTGGATCGATGGTCTGTTAAAATGTCACAATTACTCTCTAGAAGACTTCTGAATCTGCGATGGATGACAGCCTTAATTGGAGCTGACAAAATTATAACGTGAGGATGTGTCGTGATATTTTAACATCCTAATCTGTAGGCTTCCTGGGGATATTTGTCTATCACAACCGGGCACTCAAAGAGAACACAGTCCTTCTCTGCTGCTCGGCAAACTGTACCATTTAAAGTATATCATGTTTTTTTTTTAAGAGGATTAAGCTGACATCAATCTTACTCAGCCGTGGAGTGGCGTTAACCGATCTAACCAGAACTGCTCTCTCAGAATTGAAATGCTATGATGAATATTTGAATTAGAATTGATTTTATAATTTGAGAAGCTCTCTGGTTTCATTGAGGCCAAAACCCTCAGATATAAATAGATATGGCTATGTAGGACGTAGCAAAAAAAGAAAAAAGATGTCTTGCCTTGTGCAATCCATTGGCTTTCATGCTTTGCTGTTTATCCGTAATCAAATTATTCTCGTGTTTCTAAAAGACGATGAAAATATTTTTGATATACTCTCTACCATACAGAAATTAAGTTTTACAATTGTTTTCGCTAATGAAGCGTGAGAATTACACGATTTAAAGATGTCTGTGCTGATAAACAGATTAATGGACTCACACTTGCCTTTCCATCTGCTAAGATTATTGATGAATTTTTTTTTGCTTGCTGATAAGACAGTTGAAGCTGCTTTTTTAAATTTGATGTATGGTTTTCAGGACACAATATACAAGGTATGAAGTGAACTTGGGAGATTGTATTTAGTTAGACAACATCCTGAAATAAGTTTATTTGGATCTTGGCATGCAGCCCGGACTACTGTCTGAGAGATGTGGTACAAAAACTCCCAAAGCATCCCACATAGGCATAGATGCACAGACAAGGGGCTGTGCGGGTATCTGAAGAGGAAGTGAAGGTCATGTGGAGCTCAGTATAAATCTAATCCCTCGGCCTGTTGGAGCATCTGACAATATTTGAGAAATCGGCGCATCCGCCTTCTTCAACAGTGAGCTGACGGTGCATACTTAAAAAAAAAAACGAGAATGTGACTGCTGAGATAAAGTTTCCGTATCCCATTTATTTATTTTTTTCAAATGTTTCCGTGACAAATCGGCATGGTCACCGCTGAGGCGGAGATTGAATAACGAGTTTCCTGACTGCTTCGTCACCTGCTCGGAAAGCGGTGCCGCTCCCTTTCCCATGAGCCTCCGCTTCTCACAGCTTCCCCCTGCGTCTTTCTGCTGCTGCGGAAGATTGATGGCGGCCTGATTCTGGGCAGCCAATTCTGGTCTCTCAAGAAATAATCCAGTACGTTGACAGATGAGCTGAATGTGACATGACACACACAAGCCCGATTCGGCACTCTCCTCACCTGCCAACACAACGAGCAAAAGTACTCCCTGCCAACACCACTGCTGCACAAACCAGGGCACTGTTGACAGTATGAGACTCCAACACAAGCCAGTGAACGTGTGACCGATATACATTGACTGAAGTGTTTCTGTATATGCTTATGTGTCTTGTATGTTTTCTTTTAATGCTATCAACCTGTCAATAAGGAAAAATCTGGTCAAAGTCAAGTGCTTATTTGGATTAATGTGCAGTCCCTTCTTAAATAGAAAAAGTGCATTAATGAAGTGTTAACATTTAAGTTGTCAGTTTTCTTTGAGGCAACGCTTGGCAGGTACTGTATTTGTATACCTTTTGCTCAGCCGTAGTTTCCTTACAGCAGCCATGTTCATAATATATCAATACCCAGCGGGGCCATATCTGAATATAACAACACTTTAGCTGCTGCTTTGTTTTATTATGACTCTGACAGGGCAGTTTAAGAGAGTCTCAGATCCAATAGAACAACAGGATCCTGTTGCAGGTGCAGCTGTAAAACTAACTCTACTCTGCCTGTTACACTTTGATAGCAGCTTGTTGCCGACGTTAAGTTTGACCCTTTTTTATGGCAGCCATATGCAGTGTATATCGGAGCGATCACATCTTATTAAACCCTTTATTCTGAAAATGATATCCTGATCGTATTTAAACGGTGAAATAAACTCTGAGTGGTAGCCATAGGGATGCTGGTTTCAGATGTACATGAAAAATATGACCCTTTACACAAAATGGGTGATGGTGAATGGCTGATATTTAATGCAGTGCTGCTGCTGTGTTTTCATCCACTTATTTTGAAACGGCTTGTAAAGTATTATCTCAGATGATTGGAAGGCATTTTAATGAGCTCATTGTTCAATGTGCCATAATGCTTCCTTCTCCTTCGTGTAAAAAAAAAAACCTTTGATGTGAAAGAAAACATGTAATTACTTTGATGAGGAGAGATGCATCATAAGGACAAACAAGCCAATCAGAGAGGAAGTGTTTGGTAAATCAGGGAAAGCATCTTTGGCTTTAAGAACACAAACTGTCAAAAATACTATAGAGCTCAGCTTTGGCTTTATTGCTATTGAAGTTTTTTACTTTACATCTAAGGGTCTGGGTGTCACGATTCTTGTGTTTTGTCACGTTTTTAGTTTTGTATGTCTTGTATTGGGTTTATTTTGCTGTTCGGTTCTCCCTTGTGTATTGTCTCGTCCCTCTCTCTGTGTTTTTCCTCCCTGTCGTTAGTTTCCCTGGTGTCTAATTGTCTGATTGTGTTCACCTGTTGCCCTTGTGTTTCTCCTCCCCTGCCCGGCTGTTTCTCGTCTCGTGATTACTAGGGATGTCCCGATCACCTTTTGTTGCTCCCGATCCGATTCCGATCATTTGATTTTGACAATTTGCCGATGCCGATTTAAAATCGGCATCGGCAAATTGTCAAAATCAAATGATCGGAATCGGATCGGGAGCAACAAAAGGTGATCGGGACATCCCTAGTAATCACGAGACGAGAAACANAGTCACCAACAAAAGACGAACCAACACTGAACACAGGAAGAGACAAGACTAAATACAGGGAGGGGTAATCACTAGAGATGTCCAGATCCGATCACGTGATCGGGGATCGGAGCCGATAACGTGATTTTGAAAAGATCGGAATCGGGAGAAAAAAATCGGGGATCGGGATTTTTTTAATTTTTTTTTTATAAATACTACTTAAAGTCATCCTGAGGCCTTAGTTTTGGTTTCAAATGACACAACATCATGTATGTGTTGCTTCTTTGGGGCTTGTTTTCATAGACC